TTTTCACTGCCCATGGAAGAGATTTCAATATAAAATCTCCCCCCCCCACACACACACAGAGCATCTACCCCCTGCCTGGTTTGCACTGGTGTCCGTGAATGGGCCTGCTCAGCTTGCCATGGCTGCCACATGCCGTGGGGTTGAAAACGTGGTCACCAGTTCTCCTGCAGACACTTTATTCGCTGCCAGAGGGAGAACATCGCTGCCCCATGAGGAGGAGCCCAGAGCAGCCACGGCAAGGCTGGCGCTGGTGCCGGCCCCACCTGGCGCTCACCCGAAGGCTGAGGACTGGACAGACGTCAGGATGAGGCCCCTCTGGAAAGGTGCTAAAAAGAGCTATTTCCAGGGGGCTCCCTGAGGTCTCTCTAAAACACCTGTGTGCCATCCTAGCTGTCCTGCCTGTGAACCTGGAAGATGTGGGGCCTGAGATCTCTTGTGGTTTTTCCCACCCCCCTCTTTTTCTGATGGTCAGCTGTTTCTATAACACCATTTTCTCCCCCCCCCCAAATTTCCTTGCCTTCAGGCTTGTCCGAGGGCTCTGCTGTGTTGGGGGTGACCTCAGCAGAAAAACCAAAGGCTCAGCAAATGGCAAGACGGCCTTCTGTGGACAACATCTCCCCATCTCACAGCCTCGCTGTCTAGGGTTTCTGGGGGCAGGAAGAGGAGGCACGTTATATATTGCAGTTGTGGGCACAAACCTGCTGTGGTCCCCTGGACAAGAAGACCCCTTGACAGCCAGGTGTAGTACTGGAGCAAGCGACCCCGTGTGTGTGTGTGTGTGTGTGTGTGTGTGTGTGTGTGTGTGTGTGTGTGTGTGTGTGGGTGTGTGTGTGTGTGTGTGGGTGTGTGCGTGTGTGTTCATGTCTCCATGCACCGAGCGCCTTTGCTGCACGCGCATGTGTGTACGTGTGTGTGTGTGTGTAGGGGGTTATGTAGGTGCAGAGGAATGCAGGGAGGCACCTGCAGTGGTGTGTCCCCCCCCCAGCAGCTTCCACTCATTCACTCCCCCAAATCCCAGCCCCATGAGCCCAAATGGATCCATTCCCCGAGCTTGCTCCATTTCCTGCAGTGCCTGTGCCTTTCCCCTCGTCTGCCTTTTCCCACCCATCCCCCACTCCCCGGGGCTTTGCCTTTGGGATGCTGGTTGGAGGCGGGAGGCCCAGAGCCTGCTTGGAAAGTTCAAGCCCGCGGACTCTGGACTGAGGAGCAATTGAGTCAAGAAGACGTGTTGCTGAGTTGCCTCCAGCACAACAGAGAACGTGAGAGGCAGCTCCCCTTTCCCGTGATGATGATGGCCCAGGGAGGGGAAGCTCCTCCTTCTAACGACAGCTGGCCCTCATGATGCAAAACCTAGTCTGTCTCTCTGTCACATGGCATGCCATGGCTCATCTAAGGTGCACCTGCTCTTTTCAAGGCCGGGCGATATTTTACCTCACATTTCACGATAACAAGCAGTAGCTGTGAATCATGGCACGAAGCCCGTGGCAACCACACAGGCAGGATGACATTGAGGCAGCCGGCAAAGTTGAATGGCTGCTCAACTCACCTCTGGCCAGGCATCACCCTTTCCTTTCCCCATGCTGGAGGCTTGGAGCCCACAATTGCCTTCTCTTGAGGTCCCAATGAAAGCAAGTGGATGCTTGGAGGGAAAGCAAAAACTGGTACAAAATAAGTTTTTTGTTCCTTCCGGTGCCTTCTTTCAGATCAGCTTTGTGAATCAATCCTTCCAATAAAGGGGGAGGGGGGAGGGAAGAAAGCTTCCTGACTCTGTCTTACCGCCTCCACCTGGCATCAAGCTCAAGGCAGCCCAGGTAGGCCTCAGGTGTGCCTCCTCTTGGCTCCAGGCTCAGGCAAGGTGCCCTCCGACCAGGCCCCTCTCCAAGGGGCCAGGAGAGATACCCGGAGGGCTGGCCGGAGCAGACGAGCCCCGGCCCTGGCCAAGAGAAGGTGGGGCCCAATCCAGCCATTGACCCCTTTCCAAACTTCTCTGCAGAATCCAGGACCTTTTCTGCAACACCTGCCTGAAGACCTCTGAGGAAAGTCAGAAACTCTACTCAGTTTCCAACACCCACCATGGCCAGGAAAATCTCCTGCCTTCCTTCACCCCACATCTCCTGTTCCTGAGGCTTTTCATTTCTTCCTCCACAGCAGTTTTGTTAAGCCAAACTCTTTTTTTTTCTTCTGCCTGGACTGATTCTCCTTGAATTAATCCCTGGAAGACTCTGAACAGCATCTCCAGTGTCAGCAAAATGAACCCCTTCCTTTTGACGGAGGCGCACAAGAACGGCCGGGCTGTGAGTGGCACTTGTGGAAATTTCAGAGCAGCCCAGTGCCTGATCGTGTGCGCTTTTAATTTAAAAGCTAGCAATGACATTTCACACACACACACACACACACACACAAAGAGTCCAATTGCACAAGCATCCTGCCCATCAGAGAGAGAAAAGCGTCCTACATTTCTACTCTTTCCTGGACGGATCACGAGGGTCTAACTCACGGCACCTCTTGTGGGCCCTGCCAAGAGGCTAATGAGAAGCCCCAAGGCTAATGCACCCCTCTTCTGGCTCCCCCCCCCAGGAAGCCCCATCACCCTCCCAGCTACTGCACAAGCCCAACCTCCTCGCCCTACGGAGGGGGGGGGGTTCGTGGACTCAGGGGGACAATTGCCAGGGAGCCCAGCTGTTCCCAGGGGCTGGAGCCTCTGCGGCCTGAACGTTGACTGACAGAGACAGGGTCCAGCAACCAAGGCGCAACCAGGGGCAGTGCCAACTCATCCGTGGAAGGCAGACAGGCTCAGAAGGGGAAGCTTGCCTGCATCCTGTACACTGCCCGGCCGGACAGGGCAAGGGGTGTGTGCGCGCGCATGTGTCTCTGGGTCCATGTCAGGAGGAAGCCGCTTCAGCGCCCTTAGAGACATCGAAGCCCCAGCCTCCCCAACTCTGTCCAAGGCTCCTCTGGGCTCCGGGGCTCCCTTGCCTCCACCCTGACTGGCTGGCTGGCTGGCTCCCCTTCCCCTTCCCCAAGCCGGGCGGCTGCTCCCGGACTCCCCTGTTCGGGGTTCTGCTCCAGCCCCGGTCCAGCGAGCCGCGTCCCCCCCCCCTTTGCCTCAG